TGCCCAATTTTAAAACATGGAATAAAAAATGCCCCTACATGAAAATATTGCAAAAGCTCCACAAGAGGATCATGATTGTTATATGCTTTGCAACGAAAAGTTATTGTGGTCCTGGAACACTCTCCAGTAATACATTGTTTATTGGTAAAATGTGAGGTTCATAATTTTATATCGAAGATTCGATTCATTAAAAAACATCACTATTATAGTATTAATGTATTAAAAAAAGTAAAAAAAAAAAAAATACAACTCCAAGATCAAAACATCACATCATTAATAGCGGGATCCACTGCCACCTAATTAGTGGGAGCACTAATTAGTGCTCCCAAGCATTTTTCTAATTTTATATCGAATGATTGACATATAAAAAATGATATGATATATTATTATTGGTAAAAGATGTGAGATTTATAATTTTATATTGAATGATTGCCAAATAAAAAATGACAAGATATTTTGTTATAGGTGACGCCCCAAGAACACCAAATAATTTATCCTTTTCAACAGCTAGTAATGAGTGAAACCATGTGAAATGTGAAACAGCTTTTGTCTTCATCCCTCTCTTACAATTAGGTCCCTCTAAATATAGACTCTATAATAAATATAAGATTAATGATTGAGGCCTCAAATTTTTTGACTCAAATTTGTCTCGAATTTTCTTTTTCTGTTTTTTTTTTTTTTTTTTTTTTTTGGGTTGTGGGTTGATGCTTTGCTTGTTATTATTATTATTATTTTTATTTATTTTTTTCCGCAATGTTAACTCAGAAAAAAAAAAAATGCATTTGAGGCAATTTCGAGCCTCATTTTCGAGGCCTCAATCACAGCCATAAATATAAAATTCAAATGGGGCAAACTCGTCATTCTTAGCGATCTCACTATGGCCTCTGTTGAGAACATAATTTTTAGTCACTTTTTTTTTGATTTGTAACAAAAGTTAAAAGTTAAATTTTTTGGTTTTTTTTATTTAAAAAGTTAGTTTTTAGCCAATGATGAAATTACAATTCTGTCCCTCATAGGTCAAAATGTACTATATGAATAAAGTTGTAAATATTTTAAATTAAATGGAAATAGTTTGATCATTTTATTGTGATTTGACATTATAAATAAATATTAATCAAAAAAGCCAAAAGTAACTTTTTATCAATTTTGTAAATCATTTGTCCAAAAAAAAGTAAAAAACTTAGGGATTGTTTGGGGTGTCATAAATAAGTGTACTTTTTGTTTTTTAGACTAAAAAATTGAGGATAAAAATATGAATATTTGGGTTAATTTTTTAATTTTTTATGAAAAAATATGTATTAAAAAATTGTATAAATTAATGTATAAAAAAATTAAGATTAAAAATTATGTAATCGTAATTATTAACTTTTGATAAATAATATTAACTTTTTAATTTTTTAAGTAATTTTTTATGAACTTGTCAAATTTAATCGTAGGCAGAAGGTGAAAAAGGCAATTTTTACTATATCTTCTCAAAATAGGCTATGTCACATTATAGTGGCAATACTGTTATTACCTGACTCCCTCAGGGGCTTTCTTGGAGGTTGGCATGCATAAAAGCCCCCATATACGCACCCTCTTTTCACTCAAAACGCAGACTCTCTCTCTCTCTTTCTGAAAAACGAAACCAACAGAGAGTTTCAAAATTCAAAAATGAGAGCTCTCATTGTACTGGTGGTGCTAATGTGCGCCACTTGCCGAGTCGCCTTCTGCTTCGTCGACGGTGAGCTTTTTAACCAGATCTTCTTCATTCTCAGTGGCCTATTCCTAGTTTTTGCTTTCATCTTCTTCGTCCCTTGATTTGGGGTTTCTTCTGACTCCAACTGTACAAATTTACACAAACTTCTCATCTTTGTTTTAACCATTATGATTGGGTAAATATTAACAAATGTCTTTGAGAATTGTTTAATAGGCCATTGCGTCTTGTATCAATGAAAAGTATTAAGTTTTATGTTTAATAGATAAATTTTTTGAAAATGGTAAAAATATTTTTAAAATGTTTTGAAATCAATGAAAAGTATTTTTATATCAATCGTTTTTTTTTTTTTTTTTGAATCACATAATTAGATACAACATTGGGTGAGAGCGAAACTCATTTCTATGTGTGTCACTTTTTGTGTTTGGTCGGGTGATTTGGAAAAAGATTTAGAAATAGAAATAAAAAAGATATGTTGAATTAAGTGAAATATAAGTATATTTTATTCATATTTTATTTATTTATTTATTTTTTTTTAAAATTTTCAACCAAACACAACGTAAAGATGGATCCATTGTTTGATGTGATTTAAATGACCAAAATACTCTGATTGTGTGGTCAAATTTTTTTATTGTGATATTTTTTATTTGGAAATAAGTTATTTTAATTTAAAATTTAAAAAATCATATCACATTATTATTATTATTATTATTTTTTAATTTATTTTATGCACGTCTTTTGTAAAAGAAATTTAAAAAAAATAAAATAAGGCTTCGTTTGGGAACATGTTATTTTAGTAATTTTTTTATTTTTTACGAAAAGATGTATAAAAAAGTAGAGAGGTGATGTGACTAGTTTAGTTGACTTTTTGATTAAAATAACCACTCCCCAAACGATAATCAATTTCCAAATCAAAATGTTTTGAGGAAATACCTATAGTAAAAAAAAATGTGTAAGCATGACATGTTTTAAGATATTTTGAAAATTAATGTCTTCTTTATTCTTCAATTTTTCCTTATAAATGAGACTAGAGGGCAAGTCTACGCATGCATGATCAGATACTTTCCATTGGATATCTATCAATCATTAATCTATATCCACCATTAATTGTACAGAATTTTAGAAAGAATTTAAGCCATGTGTATTATTTAATTGTTTCCTACCCATCACCAAAAGACATTTCTAATTTTTTTTTTACAAAACACTAATATAAAATAAATCAATCAATATATGTATTCCATCTATTTAACTTGTCTCAAAAGTGCCCAATAACTTCTAGCACCCAATAATTTTGAGTAGGGTCCAGTCACATGGTGGTAAGTTGTCCTTATGCCTCGGATATGGTTTTTATTTCTTTTCATATAAATTGTTATTATTATTATTATTATTATTATTATTTGCATTTGAGAATTGCTATCTTGCACATTCTGCTTCTAAAACTATTTTAGTAAGTTAATTTTTTTGAGTTGAGAGAGAGAGTTGGATTTTTTTTGTAATTAGATACGATGTTTATGAATGAAAAAGTAAAATAATTGTGAATTTTAATGTGATATTTTGTCTTATTAATTATTTTAGCCTATTTTATATTTTGGGCAAATTTCACAAATAGTCTCTATAGTTTGGGTTTTGTGTCACTTTGATCCCTGACTTTTCAATTGTGACACATTTAACCCTGAATTTTGAATCTTGTTCCAAATAAAGACAATTGAAGATATCATTAGATTTTTCAAGGGTAAAATTGTCAATTTGATAAAATATAAACTAATTTGACAAAAATAAATGTCAAACAAATATTTTTGAATTTTTAAAAATTATTTCTACCCACTAAAAATAAAATTATGTAAAATTGATAAATCTTTTAGACATTTATTTATTTTTTTTACCAAATTAATTTTTATTATGTGTTTGGATGATAATCATATAAAATTAATTAAAAAAATTAATATGTAATTTTTATTAATTTTACATAATTTTATCATTAGTGGATAAAAATAATTTTTAAAAAATTAAAAATATTTTTTTGACATTTATTTTTGTCAAATTAGTTTATATTTTATCAAATTAACGATTTTACCCTTAAAAAATATAATGATATTTTCAATTGTCCTTCTTTGGAACAAGATTCAAAATTCAGGATCAAATCTGTCACAATTGAAAAATCAGAGACCAAAGTGACACAAGTCACAAATTATAGGGACTATTAGTGTAATTAACCCCATATATTTTTGTGAATTTTAACCCAAAAACAAAAAATTCCAAATTTGACTTTCCAAACACTTTTTATGCTGAAAAATTGAACTTATTATAATAATTTAGCAGAAATGATAACTATTTAGAAAAGAAAAAAAAATATTTGTGGTCAAAATTTGAATTTATAAAATAAATTTGATAATAAATAATTTTTGAAGTAAGTAGCACTACTACTATGACAAGAAGAGAAAATTTGGGGTTCTTTTTCTTCATCAATTTCTATTTATAACTTTCATTTCCGTTCTACTTGTATTGAATCGAATCGGAATACGACACAACCTCTGATATGAAATAAGACTTGCACATTTAGGTGTCGTTTGGTTTTGGTGTTTTTAGTTGACTTTTTGACTTTTTTAATCTGAAATTTTTTTAGTCGTTTGGTATTTTAATTTGACTTTTTTGACTTTTTGACTTTAGAATGACAAAATTGCTTAGTATAGAATGATATTTTTTTGACTTTTTGTTTGTATATGGGGTGATTTGGTACTTTTGTAATTTTTTTATCTTTTTGTGATTTTGTAGCTTTTTTTTTTGTCTTTTGTGATTATTTGGCCTCCAATGAAAACCAAACCAAGGCTTAGAATTGTGTCAGATTCATATATTTTAATTTTCTGAAATGAAAGTGGTAAGCCTCAAATTCTAAATTAAATTACCTTTAAAATATGCAGGATTATTGCCAAATGGAAACTTTGAGCTTGCCCCAAAGCCATCTGACCTGAATGGAACAGTAGTCCTCAAGCACACCGCCATCCCAGAATGGGAAACCTCCGGCTTCGTTGAGTACATAAAAGCCGGCCAAAAGCAAGGTGACATGCTGCTGGTGGTGCCGGAGGGAGCCGCAGCGGTCCGGCTTGGCAACGAGGCCTCTATCAAGCAGAGGATGCCGGTCACCAAGGGAATGTACTATTCCCTGACGTTCAGCGCTGCCAGGACTTGTGCCCAGGAGGAGACGCTGAACGTGTCGGTGGCACCGGATTTTGGGGTCTTGCCAATGCAAACATTGTATAGCAGCAATGGGTGGGACTCGTACTCGTGGGCGTTTCAGGCAGAGGTGCCGGTGGCAGAGATTGTTATTCATAACCCTGGGGTGTCGGAGGACCCAGCTTGTGGACCTCTTATTGATTCAGTTGCAATCAGAGCTCTCTATCCTCCCAGATTAACCAAGTGTGAGTTACTCTTTTGAATCTCATCTTTCAATCATTAATTTGTTTTCCGAAGTTTTAATTTTACTCTATGCATATGTATGACTAAGGTGTGCATATGATCGGTCGATTTTAGTTGATTGAATATTTTGACAGTTCCAAATTGATTGACTTGACAAAAAAAAGTGATGAAAAGGGTGTACCCCATGTGATTAATGGTAGAGAGATTGTGTGTGCAATTGTACGATAAAGTTTTAACTCACAAACTAATTGAGTCGACAAGTTTTATCATCTAAGTTGTCCAATTACTCGATTTACCTCTTCAAACTGCATGAGTTGATTTGATGAGACTGAAGATTTTTGTACACCATATAGATGACAGAGTGATCAATAATACGCAGATCTACAGCCCATATGGACCACATCTTTATGGGTTTTCATCATTCACCTCTTTGGAGGTGTTGTTAGGTTGATAGTTACTACCACTACCCAATCTGGATAAATGTTCATTATTATCATTTGTATAACCATGTAGAAGATCACCTTTTTTAGGGGCATTTTTTTAGGTCACTTGCCTCTCCTGCTACCTTTGGGTAGGTAGCACATTCTTCACCTTAGTTATATAGATGTATTGTTTTATACTATATAGTTTGTGCTCATCAAACATTACTTCAACACACATGTAATTGGGCATTTACAATCCTTCATTATATTTAAATTTAATGGAAAAAAAAAAGAGGCCTAAAATAAAATTCAATTATTTTTTAAGAACGAACTAAAATTTTCATCAAATTTTTAACTATCATATTTTTATTTAAATTTGATTATTATTTTTAACTACTCCTTTACTTATATAGAGAGTAATTTAATGTACAAATTAGGAAGTTTCCCGGAGCTCGATCTCAGGTTGTTGGGCTGGCTAACCCCAGTACAATTGTTCAAGGGGGCCCGAATTTGATGACCATGTTACATTGTTTCTATTGACCCACATAAAAGAGTCTCTCTCATCCAGCTTCAATTCACCTGGATTGATATGCTTTTTCATTATTATTTGTAGTCCTATTGAATACAGTAGACTCCACATTGATTCTTTCATTTCATTCTAATAATCCAAACACAGTTGCATTGATAATCATCTTGTGAAATTTAACTTATTTTTGTACATGACTGAACCATAAATTTGAACTAACATATGCAGTGAACATACTGAAAAATGGGGGTTTTGAAGAAGGACCATACATATTCCCCAACACATCTTGGGGAGTCCTAATCCCCCCAAACATAGAGGATGATCACTCTCCCCTCCCCGGTTGGATGGTCGAATCCCTCAAAGCTGTCAAGTACCTCGATTCTGACCACTTCTCTGTCCCCCAGGGAAAGCGTGCCATTGAGCTCGTGGCAGGAAAAGAAAGTGCCATTGCTCAAGTGGCCCGGACCATCCCTGGCAAGACCTATGATCTCTTCTTTGCGGTGGGTGATGCTAGCAACTCTTGTGAAGGGTCCATGATTGTTGAGGCTTTTGCCGGTAGAGACACCATTAAGGTACCCTATGAGTCCAAGGGCAAAGGAGGGTACAAGCGCGCAGTGCTTAGGTTCATGGCCACTACAACACGGACACGTGTCATGTTTTACAGTACATTCTATACGATGAGAAGTGACGACTTCTCTTCCCTCTGTGGGCCTGTAGTTGATGATGTGAAGCTGTTGAGCCTTCGTATCCCACGAAGAATGTGAAATTCATATTACTTAAAATTTGGGTGTTTTGAATCGTCAATTATACTAAGAATTATGAATTTCTACATATTTTTGTTGTAAGGTGAAGCATGAGTTTGTTGTAACTTTATTTTAAAAAAAAAAACTTCACGTTAGCATATTTTAGTAATGAAGATACTTTTTATTACTAATGGCTTGATGGTATTTATATATTTTTGTGGTAGTGAGATTTTATTTGGGTGATTTTGTATTTCAGCTGAATAAATGAGAGAAATCAAAATTACTCAAGATTAGGCTTTGTGATCTTAATGAGATTACTTTGTGGCAATTACTTGGAACTTGGAAGTGAATTTTGAACCTTGTGTTTCAGAATATACAAATTAATTAAAAGTTTCATTATTTAATTTTGAAAATAAGTTTTGAGATCAATGAAAAGTGCTTTTTTTTTTTTTTTTTTTTTCATATTCATGTGTTTTGTGTGTTTCATATACACTTGTTAATAAGATACTTCTTATAATCACTCAAAATTTGGGCAAAACATATTAATAAAATATTTGTAAAATTTTTATTTACAATAAGGTCTAAAAGGAGGTAGTACTTTTTTTTTTTTGGTGAATATAAAAGGAGGAAATACGCGAGTAGTGTTCTTCAACTTTTTATGAAAAGGGTGATTTTTGAGATTCAAAATTCATTTAACAACTAAAAATAAAAAAAATTTTATTGATAAATTCCATTTAGAGGTGTTCTAATCCAATAAGTTCATAAAGGAAATTTACAACCTAATTAGTCCTATATGTTTATACTTTTATTCCATGAAATCCTTTTTTCCTAATTTTATATTTTTTTAGACTATTATACCCTTATATATTATGTTGATACATAATATAAACAAAAAAGAAAATACATGTTTCTGTTTTGTTTGTCAATGTTATTCACGTTGATGATTTTGATTCAGTTAATCAATGTCGATCGTTTATGGTAGGGTTTCATTGTGGTAGGGTTTTAGTGCAGTAGAGAGAAGACGACGCTGGGTTTCTGTGCTGTGGGAAAAGACAAAGATGACAGGTTTCTGTCCATAGGTGTGTTCATTTTCGTAGTTTGGTGTTTGTGTGTGCTTTGGTTTGTTACGTAATTGTTGGAGATCAGTTATTAATCGGAGGTGGGGAACGATTACAGAATTTCTTTCTCAAGGTTAATATTAGGAGTGAGCAGCGGATATATCGATCCGCCAAAACCGACCGAACCGAACCGATCCGCCGCATTTTGGACGGATGCGTGATGATGAGCGGACGGTTATGTTTGATGAATGAGGTTATGATTTTTTTACTAGTAATGCATGTATATTTTTGTTGTTTGAGTTTCAGATAATTGATAAAGATGCAGATACAATTGTTTGAACAAATTGATTGCGGTGGATCATTGGTGAAAGGTTGTTTTTGGTTGATTGGTTTATTTTTTCTTGTCGTTTTGTGATTGTGTTCATACTGTTTTTGTTGTATTTGGTGTGTTATCTTTGTTTGGTTAGATATTTCAAATTATGTGAACAATGTAAATGTTCACATATCATTGGCTATAATATGTTTGTTCACTTCCTTATTTTTGTATTTTTACAGCAGATGGATACCTTTATGTTGTTAGTGCGCTCATATGGGTGTAGTACTACTATAATAAATGTGGTACAAGGATTGTCTTATTCACGTTTCGTGGAGTGTGTGTGTGAAAAATGGAGCGAGTTATCTATTAATTGTGTTTCATTGTTCTATCAGCTACCTAGGATTAATAGGTGTAATTTGGACAATGATGATGAGCTTCAAAGTATGCTCTTGCTTGCCAAATCAATGGGTGTTCAACATATAGAGGTTGTTGACTTGAAAAGTGAAGTTGGTGAGTCTAGTAGCTCTAGGTCGCTGCGTGTGGGAAGATGAAGATGTGAGTGATGGTTTTTTAATTTTGGAGAAATAGAAATTTGTTAAATTTCTAGTTCTATTGCTGCAATTGTTTTTGATTTTATGTTAACCTCATCATATCATTAATCAATGCTAATATTCACATTATCTGTAATGAAAATTTGTCATTTGTTTTTATCAATCAATGTGGCATCCATATAATATTGAATAGTGTATATATTTTCATTGTGTTAATTACCACTATGCAAAATGTTAAAGTTCACATCAGACCAGTGTATTCAGTCATATAATCACAAGCCACAATGTTTATTTGGATACAAAAATAATCTAAATATTCACTTCCTTGTTCTGTTTTATCTCTGTTTGGTTAGATAATTCAGATTATGAGAACAATGTAAATGTTCACTTATCATTGGCTATAATGTGGTTGTTCACTTCCTTATTTTTGTATTTTTGCAGCAGATGGATACATTCATGTTGTTGGTGTGCTTATATGGGTGTAGTACTACTGTAATAAATGTTGTGCGAGCACTGTCTTATTCACATTTCGTGGAGTGTGTGTGTGTGTGAAAAATGGAGCGAGTTATCTACTGATTGTGTTTTATTGTTCTATCGGCTACCTAAGATTAATAGGTGTAATTTGGACAGTGATGATAAGCTTCAAAGTATGTTCTTGCTTGCCAAATCAATGGGGGTTCAATATGCAGAGGTTGTTGTTAGGTTGGTGTAATGTTGGAATTGCATGGATAATGATAATGATGAAGATGAGAATGTGGGTGTTTGTTTTTGGAGAGTTTGAGATTTTATAGGCTTTTTGTTTTTGGATTTTTGATTTTTTGTACTAGAATTTTGTTATATGTATTGTCAATTAATGTTAATATTTGTACTTTCATATAATATTGATTGATGTATATGTTTTAGTTGTGTTTATTACCATTATGCAATATTGATGATGTGAATATTCAAGGATCATTTTGTTTATTTAGACACAAACATCATGTGAATATTCACAAAGCAATAAATAAATGTGAAGATTCACATTAATTTTGATATGTTTGTTCATTGGTCGTACACCTAATTAATGTATAATGTGAATATTAACATCTGTAGTCAATCACAGTATGATGTGAATATTCACAATGCAATAAATAGATGTGAAGATTCATGTTAACTCTAATATGATCATACACCTAATTAATATATAATGTGAATATTAACATCTGTAGTCAATCACAGTAAACATCGGACATAATTTGAACATTCACATTTATTGAACATAAATCAAGATTGTAGACGTGCCTCGAGGACTCCTGAGCTCCACACGCGAAGGGTACGAATCTCGTTTGCTCTCTAGCTACTACAAGTTCGGACTCATGCCACGGTTCTGAATCTAATCTCACAATGTGTGATGTAAGATCGATAAATCACCAAAGAGTCCAAATCCAGCAAATCGTTTTGGAAAACTGATTTTTAATAAAGAAGTGTCAAACATGGACTGCTTTGCCAGATACAGAGTTGCCACCTAAATATTTTATTTTGGGAGAATTTAGGAAACTCTGACTCGTGCCTAAGGCCATGTGTCCGTCATCACCAAAGTTGCCTCGGCTCAGGAACTTGGTTACGAGAAGGGAAGGCCATGTAATGAGCACCCCCGCTCGCCCGATCAAAGATCGGCCTTTACTAAGTATGATATTTTGTTTTTGAAAACACATGTGTTCTTATTCCGGTTAATTAGCTAATCTTACTACGTGATGCGCACAACATACAAGTATAGACTAGATCGCCTAATTTGGAACAAAACATTGCATGTTCGTTTGTTTGAAAATGGTTTGAAGTTTGCTACTCGCAAGTAGGCTGAATTCGGGATTTTGATGAATTGTTCCAATTCAAGTAATCCAACATTCACCCACAGGCATTCAGGCTGTTATATCAAATAAGCAGTTAGCCTCATGGTAAGCATGCTTTCATGGTAATCAATAACACGTATGCAGTATGCTAAAGTGTAAACACTCACAGTGTACTCCGAGCCAAAACAAAGAACTAGTTATAAATTATGCATGATCCTAATTTATGTTAAGATGGCTAATGCAACACATGCGAAAATGCAGCTAAGATAGGCTCAGCTATCTAGAATGTCATGTGAAATGCAACTTGGTACATGTATTCAAATTAGAATTGAAATACAATGCAATTAGTATGATGCGCTGAGCCTGGTGCATGCAATACAAATGAATGGATGCACGCATGCAAGCATAAGGTATGCTAAATGAAATATGCCCTAAAACTAACCATCGTAAGCGGTTAAGTAAAAGGAAGAAAGAAATGGGGGTTGGAAGACATGTAATTACACAACGAAATTGAATAACTAGCTACAACTAATTATTACAACACAAATGGAATAGCTAAGCACATTAGCTAATTAAGTACAAACCAAAGCATAATCTAGCTAAAGAAAGTAGCTAATAAAGTAGTAAAACAGGAGCTTCAGAGGGAGAAGAGTGCATGCATGCTCGGTCGCCTCGTTCGGAAATCCGTCACGATGCCCTAATTTTCCTCTGTTTGCAATTGTCCTCAGAACCTTGCACCAAGCTCCAGAAAGCTTCCAACTCACCTTAGAGACCTATGGGAGGTTGGCCGACCACCTAGGGATGTCACCAACCACTGGCCGACCACTTTCTGTGTTGAAAACTAGAAAAAGTGGTCGGCCAGCTAGTTTTTCTGGCTGGCCGACCAGTTGTTGCTGTATTTCTCCAGTTTGCTACAACAGAGAGCAAGAAAGGGCATGGCAATGTATTTGCAAGATATGTGTGTACAACCACCCTCCCTATCATTTCATGAGTTCAAAGGAGTGTAGTTCTCGACCCTCGGGCCACAAATCGCGCATTTCAATGCGTGATGGCCGAGAAGCCAAATTGCACAATTCAATATGAAAATGAATGCACAAGTAAACACATAAGGCCTAAAACTCTATCACGTATGATCAAGAGCGTCAGCGACCAAGAATTGAGGCACATTTCATCACTTCAAGTATGAAACGTCCCTCGTTTCTCGTGTTTGGACTAACACCTACTCCAAACACAATGCAACACATAACATGGCATGCACAATGCTATGTAACATGGAGTATACAAAAATGCAATGCAACATAAGCATGCAATATGCAATACAACTTAAGCATGTAAACATGGAATGCAAGGTATGCAAAACACAATGCAACTATATGGCATACACAATGCGAAGAATAACATAGCATACTCAATGCAATGAACAATATGGCATACTTAATGCTATATAAGATGGCATAC